CAGTCTCAGTGCTGTAAAAATTAAAAATGATATCCAATGAATTGGAAATACAATGACTTCTTTAAATATTTCAGGTAATAAAAGTTTAATTTGAATGCCTTGGTCTCACTTGTGCTACATTCAGATTTCCATAAGTTGCACGGATTTCTCCGTTAATTATATCTGGTGTCTTTTCAGGATAACAAGCCTTAAATCGCAAATCTGATTAGCCCGTGTAGTTATATAACCGCACAAAGCAACAATCGCATGACTCATGGAGCTCAGGAATGTTTCAGGTATATTGTGCAACAAAAACCTCTTAAGAAAACCTGAACAACTGAAACAAAACACAAATCTCCTGACCTCTGTGCGTCACCGCTGTCCACGTCTTCAGGGTCACATTCGTTTATCTTATTTGTGCCATCAAGAAGATTGAATGCACTTTTTCAAAGATAGTTAGACATGTGGAGCAGCAACTTGTTTGTTACATAACTAACTTTCACCTAAAGTGAAAGTAACTGTCAGGTGTATTGGAGCTTTACAACGGAAGATTAAAAATGTGGCTGCTGGTTTACAACAATTTGACAGTTGCGGCAAATCAAAGTAAAGCTGGATTTAAAGGGTGATGCAAATCTGGTGGAAAAGTTAACTCATGATTGGAAATTAATTGAAGCTCAGTATTAAGGTGAAACCCCCCTGCACATCTGAATAATCACCTCTGACATGTGGAGTCATTCATGCCATCCATCCATCCATTTTCTTCTGCTTATCCGGGGTCGGGTCATGGGGGTAGCAGCCTAAGTAGGGAGGCCCATACTTCCCTCTCCCCAGCCACTTGGCCCAGCTCCTCCGGGGGAATCCCGAGGAGTTCCCAGGCCAGCCGAGAAACATAGTCTCTCCAGCGTGTCCTGGGTCTTCCTCTGGGCCTCTTCCCGGTGGGCCATGTCCGGAACACATCACCAGGGAGGCGTCCAGGAGGCATCCTAAACAGATGCCCGAGTCACCTCAACTGGCTCCTCTCAGCATGGAGAAGCAGCGGTTCTACTCTGAGTCTCTCCCAGATTATCGAGTTTCTCACCCTATCTCTAAGGGAGAGCCCAGACACCCTGCAGAGAAAACTCATTTCGGCTACTTGTATCCGAGATCTCGTTCTTTCAGTCACAACCCAAAGCTCATGACCATAGATGAGGGTGGAAACGTAGATCGATTGGTAAATTGAGAGCTTCGCCTTTTGACTCAGCTTTCTCTTCGCCACGACAGACCTGTACAGCGCCCGCTTCACAGCAGACGCTGCACCTATCCGCCTATTGATCTCATGCTCCATTTTCCCCTCATTCGTGAACAAGACCCCAAGATACTTGAACTCCTCCACTTGGGGCAGGGCCTCCTCCCTGACCCGGAGAGGGCACTTTACCTTTTTCCAGCTCAAGACCATGGCCTTAAACTTGGAGGAACTGATCCTCATCCTGGCCACGTCGCACTCGGCTGCGAACCGCTCCAGCGAAGGCTGTAGATCACTATCTGATGAAGCCAATAGGACCACATCATATGCAAAAAGCAGACACAATCCTAAGGCCACCAAAATGGATCCCCTCAACACCTTGGCTGCGCCTAGAAATTCTGTCCATAAAGGTTATGAACAGAATCGGTGACAAAGGGCAACCTTGGCGGAGTCCAACTCTCACCGGGAACAAGCCCGACTTACTGCCGGCAATGCGGACCAGGCTCTGACACCGGTCATACAGGGACCTAACAGCCCGTATCAAATGGCCCGGTATCCCATACTCCCAGAGTACCCCCCACAGGGTTCCCCGAGGGACGCGGTCGAACGCCTTCTCCAAGTCCACAAAGCACATGTAGACCGGTTGGCAAACTCCCATGCACCCTCCAGGACCCTGAGAGTGTAGCGATGGTCCAGTGTTCCACGACCAGGACGATAACCGCAATGCTCCTCCTGAATCCGAGGTTCGACTATCCGATGGACCCTCCTCTCCAGAACCCCCGAATAGACCTTACCAGGGAGGCTTAAAAGCGTGATTCCCCTGTAGTTGGAACACACTCTACTGTCCCCCTTTTTGAATAGGGAGACCACCACCCCGGTCTGCCAATCCAGGGGAACTTCCCCCGATGTCCACGCAATATTGCAGAGTCGCGTAAGCCAACACAACCCTACAACATCCAGAGCCTTAAGGAACTCCGGGTGAATCTCATCCACCCCTGAGGCCCTGCTACCGAGGAGCTTTTTAACCACCTCGGTGACCTCAACACCAGAGATTGGAGGGCCCGACCCAGAGTCCCCAGGCTCCGCTTCCTCAGTGGAAGACGTGCCGGTGGGATTGAGGAGGTCTTCAAAGTATTTTGCCCACCGACCCACGACATCCCGAGTTGAGGTCAGCAGCGCACCACTCCCACTATAAACAGTGTTGGTGGCATACTGCTTTCCCCCCCTGAGATGCTGGATGGTGGACCAGAATCACCTCGAAGCCATACGGAAGTCATTCTCCATGGCCTCTCCAAACTCCTCCCATGCCCGAGTTTTTGCCTCAGCGACCACCCAAGCATGTCGCTTGGACTGCCGGTACCCATCAGCTGCTTCTGGGGTCCCACAGGCCAAAAAGGCCCGATAGGACTCCTTCTTCAGCCTGACAGCATCCCTCACTGATGGTGTCCACCACCGGGTTCGAGGGTTGCCACCACGACAGGCACCGACAACCTTGCGGCCGCAGCTCCGGTAAGCCGCCTCAACAATAGAGGCACGGAACATGGCCCACTTGGACTCAATGTCCCCTACCTCCCCCGGAACATGTTCAAAGTTCTCCCAAAGGTGGGAGTTAAAACTCCGTCTCACAGGAGACTCTGCCAGACGTTCCCAGCAAAGCCTCACAACACGTTTGGGTCTGCCAGAAATGACTGGCATCCTCCCCTACCATCGGAGCCAACTCACCACCAGGTAGTGATCAGTGGATAGCTCTGCCCCTCTCTTCACCCGAGTGTCCAAGACATGTGGCCGCAGATCAGATGAGACGATGACAAAGTCGATCATCGAACTGCGGCCTAGGGTGTCCTGGTGCCAAGAGCACATATGGACACTCTTATGCTTGAACATGGTGTTTGCTATTTACAATCCATGATGAGCACAGAAGTCCAACAACAGAACACCACATGGGTTCAGATCAGGGGGGCTGTTCCTCCCAACCACACCCCTCCAGGTCTCACTGTCATTGCCCACGTGAGCATTGAAGTCCCCCAGCAGAACAAGGAAGTCCCCAGGAGGTGCACTTTCCATTACCCCCTCCAAGGACTCCAAAAAGGGTGGATAATCTGAACTGCCGTTTGGTGCATAAGCACAAACGACAGTCAGAACCCGTCCCCCCACACGTAGGCAGAGGGAGGCCACCCTCTCATTCACCGGGGTGAACCCCAACACACAGGCACCAAGATGGGGGGCAATAAGTATGCCCACTCCTGCTCGGCGCCTCTCACCAGGGGTAACTCCAGAGTGGAAGAGTGTCCAGCCCCTCTCAAGAAAACTGGTTCCAGAGCCAGAGCCATGCATAGAGGTGAGTCCGACTATTTCTAGCCAGAACCTCTCAACCTCACACACCAGCTCAGGCTCCTTTCCCACCAGTGCGGTGACATTCCACGTCCCAATAGCCAGCTTCTGTAGCCGAAGATCAGACCGCCAGGGTCCCCGCCCTCGGCCACCACCCACCCCACATTGCACCTGACCCCTTTGGCCCCTCCCACAGGTGGTGAGACATGGTGGTGAGTCATTCATCCTGCACATTTTCTTCACTCCTCTCTCGTAGAAGTGAAGAAAACGTGCTTACATCTGGGACATCTGCACAGGATGAACATGTTTTAGTATTTTAAATTGAAATAAGAGAAGCTTTTGACCAAAGTATATTGATTTGCATGGTGCTGGCTGTCTTTTTTCTTCTTCTTTTGTTTCAGACTCATTTGTGTTGTTTATGGTTTTACTTTGAGCTAAACATCAATTCCATGTAGAGTCCAAAAGAAGTGAAACCACCATGAATAAAAGTTCATCGCAGGCTTGTTTTCTGAGGGTCACTAGGCTCAGCTGGGCAAAAAGCTTAAGACAAAAAAAATCAGTGTTTTGATTTTTATGTCAGTCTTAAGGATAAGGGAATTAATCATTTTATTGGAATACTGTTTGTTATACTATATTCAGCAGATGGGTACTCAGATAAAACTATATGTTTAAGCCAGTTCTCAGTATTATTAATATTTATTGTGTGTGCACGAAAGCACCGTGGAGAACACAATTTTCATTCAGTAAATTTGAGAAGTAAAATATTTGTCAGATGTGATGGGTCCCTAAATAAGACCAGCTGAGAACCACAGCTGTAACCACAGCTGTTTATATTATATTCTACCATGTTGTTGTTCAATATCTCTCTTTAGGACATTGTAAATATTATAATTACTTTTTTCCTTTTTGAGACTTTTTTTGTGTACCCTTATTGCATGCTTTTTGTATTTTCTTGTTGGTTAGTTCTTTGATTTTTTTAGCGAGTCAAATCGGTTCTTCTCATCCTGAGCATTTCATTGTACTGTTAACCCTGTGTTAAACTTGCATATGACAAATAAACACAACTTGAACTTGATCTCAACTTGAACTTAAAGGAGGTTTGAAATGCTCTCTGTTCCTGGCCATTTTAAATCACAGCAGTTATTTGATCAAGCTGAATAATTAATTTTACATGTCAACTTTTCTTGTTTCATGTTCAGCTTTATGAAGGAACTGAAGGTAACAGTGAATAAACAGAATTAGACATGATTAACTGCTTACAAAACTATAAAAAAATAAGATATATTACCAACTCTTTATAAAAAAAAAAATACAAAGTACAAAAAGTCATTAAAACCTCACCCTAAATTGAACTCAGGTAAACAAAAGGAGAAAAAAAAGACTAATTACAAAGTCACATAAAAATATTTACAGCAATCATTATTTACATCCTCAAATTGGCAACATTTGTGTTTTTAGTAATGCAGTATTACAAATAATCAGCAATAATGACTTCAGTGAATTCATTTCTCCTGTTTCTTTCTCCTTCAGTGTCCTGCACATCTGCTGCAGACTCTCGGTCTTCAGCTTGCGTCTCTTTATTGATATTGTCTTCTTTCCCCTCCTCCATCCTCTGCAACTCCAGCCTCAGTTGATTTTTCTCGTTTAGGATCACCTCCTCCTTGATGACTCTCTGCTGCTCCTCTTGCTCTTTCCTCTCCTTCTCAGCCTTTTCCTCTTTCTCCTGCTTCTTCAGCTTCCAGTAGAAGGCCAAGTTCTTCTCAGGATAGGTGACTTTAGCCAGCGGCAGCTTGAATATTCGTTTGGTCCCTGTAGTTAGGAGGAGGAAGGTGAGGGCAGAGAGGCAGAAAGGCCATGTGCACGCCGGAAGACCGAACTGTGGATAGATCGCAATAAATTACATTTTGTAACAAACTTGTAGGTTAATAAATACAGTGGATTAAACTGAAAGGCTGAATATTTACTGTGGACATGATGTTGGCAATGGCTGAGCCGAGATAGGCGCAGAAAAAAGCTGCAGAGAAGAAGAGAGCTGGTTGGGATTACAGATTACAGATACACACTTCATAGTTGCTCATGATGTCATGATGACTCACGCCCATTTCTTACAGATTAGCTGCACTTTAAGATAAAGTTTTTATCTCTCTACTCACCACATGTGATGGCGAGCAGATGCACCTGCCAGGTGAGCGCGTAAAACATTCCTCCTATGGCGATGCAGGCCAACACACAGTTGTAGCCCCACAGGCCAAAATAAATGTCTTCAAACGGAGCTGCTAAAGCCAAACCTGAAACAACAAAACAAGTCTTGATCTTGTCACTCTCATTCCTGCTAAGTACTGATACTGAATCTATTGTGTAACCACACAGGGACACACAGTATTACTGCATACATTACTTTACAACCCTCCAAAGGTTTCACCGGGGTTTGTGTGTTCTCTCACCTGACACCATGCCCACAGCAGATCCCAGAACAGCATGAGCACAGGTGACAGGGGAGGAGATGAAAAGAGAGATGATGAACATTCCTCCTGTCCAAGGGTTGTCACAGCCATAAACCTGCCCTATTCCTACAGGTACTGACATGAACAGCTGCAAAAGGTAATGATATTTGTAAATGCAAGAGTCACGAGTGTGCTTCCAACAGGGCCAACTTGCTTTGTTAAGACAGATTACAGCTGTTTACTGACCTTTGACACATTGATTTCAGACCAGGTGATGTTGGGGAACTCGGAGCGTGGCTGAATGAGCACCTGGGGGAAGTGGTGGTTATAGTGGCCGGTGGCGACCATGTGCAGACATACTAGGATGTTGAAGGGCAGCGTGAACACTGGCAGATCCCAGCGGCTGTTTATCGATGCCAGGGCACTGGACACAATTGGGCTAAAGCACAACATTGCAGTACGTCATCACCTGGGTTAAAGGTGCACATGCACAAAATGATTCAATGACTTGTTTGTTTCAAGCATCTCTCTGTTTTATCATTAGCAAATCTAAAGTCTTGCTTCCATTATAGCTGACTGAGCAATTAAGTAGAAAAACTGCAACTTGAATCCACTTTTTCCGTTTTTTCTACCTTTTTTAAAATTATTGTTCAGCCATTTCTGGCAGCTTACCACATCATGGACATGAAGACATTTGGCAGCAGAAGCCACCAGTACCAGTTTCCGGTGTTGGAGAACACAGCCATCAGCAGACCCACCAGGATGCCGTTGTATCCATACAACCCTGCAGCTATAGCACCCCTGAGGAAAAAAATCATCAAAGCTGATTGATTTCCATGGTTCAAAGCAAAGCTGAGCTGCTTCTTCTTTGAAATGTGCTAAATTACTTGATTCAGTTCAGCTGTAGTCTGAGTTTGTACCTGTTTTGTTGCAGGATGAGAGCAGAAATAGTTGCAAAGAGCGTGCCCACAAAGCCATTGAGGGCCCACCAGTAGTTTTGCAAAATGAGGCCCCCAAAGATGATGAGTCCACTCAGAGGATTGTTGACGAACATCACCTGGGATGCTCCTCGCAGAACCCAGTCCAGCAGCTGCAGCAAGAAAAACCGTTCTAGGGAAATACAGGTGGGAACCGTTTGTGAGATTTGAATCCAAAAGGCAGCGTGAGGTTGAGGAACGTTTCCACTGATAAACACGTGAAACTGATGGTTCAGTGCTGCTCAGGTACCCTTCAGCCTCAGATATAACACATTATCTCAGGGTAATAACCTCTCCATGCCTCAGAGCTCACCTTAAGAGCTCTGCTTGAAGTTCCTGTGATGATTTATTATTAATGTTTGACTAAGTTTATTCATCCATTACTTATGAAGTCTCCATACCTATATGTCAAGTTATAGGACATTTACACAATTCCAGACTATCACTGATGCATGATGTCTCTAATTTGACTCACTTTCCATCCATTTTCCAAATGCCTCCATGTCCCCTGAGAAGTAGGACACGCCCTTGAGAAAGCAGGCCTTGGTTCTCTGCAGGGCAGTGACTCCTGCAGGTCTAGCTTGGCCGTCCCTTCCATCTTCCTGGGAGGGGCATTGCTCAGACTGGAGGTTAGGGTGTGCCATCAGGGGCTGGAGCTCCTGGACAGGTCATCAGGTTAGAAATTTTGTTTTGAAATGACATAAACTGTGAGAATCTTAGAAAACAAGCATTAGAGCGAGGTCGGCTTACAGTAAAAACAGGAGAGTTGCTGGAAGAGGAGGCAAGAGAAGAGCGGCTGATATTCTTGGGAATATCCTGAAAAGAAAAGAAGCAAAATTGTTACTCAGCAGCAAACTTTACAGTGTTTGCAATGAGTCCTAAAGATTTACAGATGAAAACAGTTCATGCCGTGTTATTTAAAGGTTTTCACAACTTTCATGTGAGTGCATACATATATGAAGTTGTTACGCTTTAATGGATGCGATTAAGGGCTGGAGAACGTGTTCACTGAAGGGAATAAATAAAAACATTTTGATCTGCTTTCTATATTTCATCTTAAAAACATGGATGGAAAAAAATGATTTTGTTTTAAAATAAAAGAAAGTAACTCAAAGTCTTTTTTATTCTAAGTTCTTGTGCATGAAAAATGATTATTTTAGATAAAGAAAGAATAAGCCAGCATCATTTCTCTTGTTTCCATTAAATATTAGCTGTTTTCTATCAAACTCCCTGATCTATTTCAATACAGTTTGTTTTATGCTTCTTTCCTTCTTGCAGGACTTTGCAGATTGCAACAAGTGTTTCCAAAGTGCTCCTACCTTTGTGCAGTGTGGTCCAGTCATATGTTTCAAACTGTGCTCAGGCCACATGGACTGCCTGCTCCTTCTGATCCTCATCAGAGACTTGCAGGGAAGGCTTTTATCCAAACAGACTCCACCTCTCCTCTCACACCCATCTCGTGCACTCCTCGTCCGCAGGAATCCTTGGCACTCAGCAGAGGCAGTCTTGAACTTATTTACTATCTTTATAGAAGCAACGGGAAAACTTTGAGATGTTTGTTTTTTGGTTTGGTTTTATTACAGAGTTGTCGGACCATTGACTGTAACAAAGTTCATGCTCAATCATCCAGGTACCAAATCCAATAATTCTCAGTCGGGTCATCTGGACAGTTTCTTTTTTATAGAGATGTTTCGTCCTCTATCCAGAGGGCTTCATCAGTCAGAGGAGTTCCAGTAAACTGTTCACCACCAAGCAGTAAAATCCTTAAGTGGACCAACCAGTTTGCTGGAGCTAAGATGGTTTTTGGGGGCCATCTTGTCCCTCATCAACTCCTCCCAGGCAGGCAGCTATAGCCAAAGTGGTTCAAGGCAACAAAGTTCATGCTCAATCATCCTGGTACCAAATCCAACAATTCTCAATCAGGTCATCGGGACAGTTTCTTTTTTATAGAGAAGTTTCGCCCTCCCCCTGCTTCTCCCAGCAAGTCAAAAATACTGAAATGGGAATGTATTTTTATCCCAGTTGCTCATTTGGTGGCTCTGGATGCATTAAAAGGCAACCCATCAAAGGTAAGTCAGGTCTTATGGGCGGTTTCTTTCTTTGTTGAAGATGTAGCATCCTGAGGTATCTTTGGAGATGTTGAATAAAGACAGGATTCGTGGTTTTGGGCTCTGGAACACGAGGCTGGTTAGCCACAGTAAAACCTGCTCAGAACCCTCCTCAGAGACACAGGTGAGGTGATGTTCTGGCCGTACTTTGTTTTTCCCTGGGTCTTGCAGATGGATGGAGAAGGAGCCACTAGGACTAACAACAGTGCCTTATCAGCTGTCTGACCCGTGAGGTCTTTAGGAATTTGGACCTGACACTCAAACTCTCTGTTGTCGTTCAGATTGATGGAGTTCAGCTTCAGATTAACTGTCCCAGATTTCAGACACACCTTCAGAGACGCCTGGTCTTTATAATTATCTTGGATGTGAGTCTCATCATCAGAATAATAATAAGTGAGGACCTTGTCATCCTTGAGCCAGGGCGGTCCATGTGATGACGACCAATGTAGGTTTCAGCGCTTTTAAACGTGCAGGGCAGAGAGACGTCACCTCTGGCAAACTCATACACAGTCTGAGGGATGTTAACAGTGATGGCCGCCACACTGGACCACACTGCACTCAGCAGAACCAGGGTCCAAATCATCTTCTCCGTGATGAAGGGTTTTAATGTAACAGGCCTGGGTTCTGTTCTCGGCCCGGTTTTGTTTGCCACAGGAAGAAGAGGAAGCGGATGAACACCGGGCGGTGCCGCTTCCTCTTCTTCCTGTGATAAACGGATCATAAACAGATGAGACTGATCTCAACCAATCAAAAGAAATACATCTTTAACAAAACAAAACACCGTCCAAAAAAACCTGACTTAACTTTGTTGGATTTTTTTTAACCTGGATTACTGAGCATGAACTTTGATGATTAGAAGGCAACATTTTAGGGTTTCAGACTTTACTTCTTTGCATAATAACAAATAACTTTACTGGAGATTTTCCTCAAGTGTTTCTTAAGAAATGGAGCCCAGCTGGTTTAAGTTTTGCTTCACCGTTTTAAGGTTGTTGGTCACAGGAAGTCTGAGCATCTTTCATGACATTTCTATCAATCGTCATCAACAGTTTGATCAACTTTAGGCAACACAGAAATGGCTATAACCTGGTCAGTTTTACAGATATTGAGATAAAATTTGGTCTGGTTGAAGATGAGAGTAAACCTCAACACATTTATTGAATGCAAACAGATTTTGCGAGCTCTCTCTTTGTTGCATGACTCGCACATGATGTCTGTACAGGGATTGACCAAACAACTATAAATTGGGCTCCTTCTCAGATGAATTAAGTTAAAAAAAACAAAATTTTATATATATATATATATATATATATATATATATATATATATATATATATATATATATATATATATATATATTGGGGGCCATCTTGTCCCTCATCAACTATATATATATATTTATATATTTATATATATATATATATACATCTTTGTAGCTTAAGTTTTGGCATTCACAATACTTTTTCTTTTAAATTTGGCAAAAATGTTGTTTCATGCCAAACACATTTGAGTTACTTTTAGTCAGTTTAAAGGATTTCCAACTTTTCTCTTATTTGCATCATTTTTAAATTACATTTCTAAAAGTAAAATATTTTAAACTGGACACAAACCTTATGTAAGTTTACCAGTAAGGATGCTTTTGTTCAAGTTAAATGTCTGAGGCTCCAAACAAATCAGTGGCTGCAGAGGAAACACTCTCCAACAGCAGTAACATGAGTTCAAATAAAGACATCCTTCACTATCTCAATTCTGAGATCAGAAAATAATCTAATAAAGACACGAATAACTTAAACTAACAGCAAATACAGAAGTCAAATAGAAGCTGAAAGAGACTAAAACGTGCCAGCTGTTTCCTTACCTAATTCAGGAACTATAATTAAATGTACAGAGCTCTCTGTGAAGAGAGGCAAACTAAGAGAGGAACGAAGAAGAGTTCTGATTCTTTTCAGGAGTGTTGTGAAGAAAATTGTTCCCTGTGAACAACAAGCAGTCAGAGTTTCAGCCACCCTGGTTTAGGACTTAAAATAACAATATTTTTGTGATGATTCAGAATTCTCACTGTTGTTTTCCTGTATATTGTTTTAATCTAACTACTAAATACTTTGTGCTAGTTGTATTTTTAGACACCCTAATATCAAATCATTCAGCTCATTCAGGATGGGTGCCATGGCATTTGGTTTTTGAGAACTTTAAACATTTTTAAATATTTCACTTTATTTACTCATATTTTAGCCACATAAATGCATTAAGATCTTTTTGATGATAATAATAATAATAATAATAATAATAATAATAATCAAAAACATTGTTCTTCTCTTTGAAACCTGCTTCAGCATATTTGTTCTGTTTTTGTCTCAAGTTACTTTTGGTTTTTAAGTAATGTTTTGAAACTTTTGGCATGTGGTTAAGTAGCTTTAAGATAGATTTTCTTACATTTAACTTTTAACTTTGTTTATACTCTGCTCTGAAAGACTAAAAAGGACTACTTTTTTGCATAATTAAAAAAAACAAAGAATTTAAAAAGTGTTAAGTACTATAAGCTGCTGAAGAGAAGACTTCTCATTCAGAATGTGAGAAAAATCTTTCAGTTAGTAAAAGTTAGCATGAATGTGTTATGGCACATGTGGACGACCTGCTTGAGGGCCACCTGTTGCATTCTGGGATAGGTCTGAGGGCCCTTGTAAACCATGAATCAATTAGGTAAAAACCATAATCTAATAAAATAAGAAACACAAATGTATGTTTGTTGTATATATGTATATGCAGATGTTTTGTTTCAACTTTTCCTAAAAAAAAATCTCAAGTTTACAAAACAATTATTTTTTCCCAAAAAAAAAATTTCAAAGTGGTGTGTTTAGACATGCATTGAGTTTTTCTGTGACATTGTTGAGCTGCAGATCATTCACTGTGTTTTCCAATCACTTGGACAACTGAGTGAACGCTGTTGCTGCTCTCTGGAAAATTATATTACTTAACGTTTTATGACTCTGCGAAATGATTCATTCTGAGAGATTTATTGCTTATTCTTTCATTATCCATATACAATTATGTTTGTTGTCTACGTGCTGCGCAGCTGGATAAACTCTGGCCTACCCATCTACCTGGCTCTGATTTTAGCTCAAGCCTGCATCCCAACTGTCTACCTGATATTGTTCTGGTCCTCTTCTTGCCGACTTCTCTGGCCAGTCTGTTGACCACTCTGTGCTAGCTGGATTACCCCAGGTTGTCTAACCCTAGCAGCTTTAATAGCAATGAACAATGAAAAAAAACAAAAAACAAACAAAAAAATGGTGCTGACCCAATTCACTTGAATAATTTTCACCCAATTTCAAATTTATCTTTTCTTTCCAAAATCTTTGAAAAAGTTGTTGCTGCTCAACTCCATTCACGTTTAAATTATAATCATGTCTCTCTTGTAAATGAGTCCTCGAGGCTCAATGGGATTAACCTGTCTAAATAAAGGTTGAATGAAAAAAATAATATCTCTATGAACAATTCTAGTCTGGTTTTCATCCCCTTCACAACACAGAAAGAGCTCT